ATAAACAATATATATATATATACACACTACATATACTATACACACATATACTATACATGAAAACATAACAGTTTGGGATGTATCCTCTTCTCACAAAACACACACAACAAGGATTAATGCTGGAAGACAGAAATAGGAGTGGGAAAAAGAAGTTGAAAGACAATCTTTACTTTTTATCTGTATTATTCAATACTGCATTAATTTTTATAATTCAAATGTATTGTGCATTGCATTCACATTTCAAATAAAATATGAAATAAATAAATAAATAAATAAATAAAGCCGAAGGCACTGATACCATTCTTCTGGGCATAAGGAACATATGTAACAGTGCAATCTCCATAACAAGAGGAGGCTCCCATCTTACCAAAAGCAATTTACCAATCAATGCTATTCCAGTAAAAATTTTAGTGACATTCTCAAAGAAATAGAACAAATTTTGATGAAATTCATATGGAGCCACAAAAATCCTTGAATAGCCAAAGCTCTCCTGACTAAAAGAAGGAGACTGGAGGTATCACATGCACTGGTTTCAAATTATACTACAAGGCATAATAATTAAAACAGTACGGTACTGGAACCAAAACAGACATACAGACCAATGGAATCGATAGAAAACCCAGAAAAAAACCCACGCATTTGTGGACAACTAATCTTTGACAAAGGAGCAAAGAATATGTAATGGAAAAAGGACAGTTTGTTCAATAAATGCACAAAAAACAACTCAAAGTGGATAAAAGATTTGAATGTAAGGCCTGAAACCATAAAATACATTGAAGAAAATATAGGCAAAACACTAAACAACATACATCTCAGTAACATCTTTAAAGACACATACCCTAAAGCAAAAAAAGAAAAAGGAAAAGATAAGCAACTGGGATTACATCAAACTAAAAAGCATCTGTACAGCAAAACAGACACTAACCAAAACAAAGATTCACCCTACTGATTGGGAGAAAATTTTTGCACACAATACAACTGATAAGGGAATGATTGCAAAAATCTACAAAGAGCTCATAGGACCCAACAAAAACAAGGTACACAATCCAGTCAAAAAAAAAAAAAATTGGCAGAAGAGCTAAAAAGACACTTCTCCAAAGAGGAAATGTAAATGGTCAACAGGTGTATGAAAAAATGTCCAACATCACTTATAATCAGGGAAATATAAATCAAAACCACAATGAGATATCTTACATCAGTGAGAATGGCACACATTAAAAAAAGGACAACAACAGTTTTGGCAAGGATATAGAGAAAAAAGAACTCTGCTACACCACTGGTGGGAACGCAAACTGGTCCAACCACTATGGAAAACTGGGTGGAGCGTCCTCTAGCTACTGAAAATGGATCTACCATATGACCCCAAAATTGCACTCCTAGGAATCTATCCAAAGGACACAAAAACATTAATTCATTAAGATACCTGCACCTCTACATTTATTGCAGCACTACTTACAAGAGGTAAGATATGGGAACTACCCAAATGCCCAAAAATAGATAATTTGCTCAAGAAGGTGGGGTATATATACACAATGGAATACTATTCAGCAATCAAAAAGATAAACTCATGCCATTCACAGCAACATGGATAGAGCTAGAGGGGATAATGCTTAGTGAAATAAGCCAGAGGAAAAAGAAAAATATCGGATGGTTTCACTTATAGGAAGAATATAGGGGAACCAAATTAGGGATCAGGAAAGAAATAACAATAATAATTTAAAAAAACAACAAAATTAGCAGGCAATCATAAATCAGAGATATTCTGCAAGGGAGGGGGAAGAAAAGCAATCAAAAGAGAGGGGAGAAGAGGGCCTCCCCTGGTGGCGCAGGCAGTTGAGCGCAGCGCTGTGAAGCTCTCCACAGCTCTGCAGCACAGGTTCAATCCCAGCCAGCCGGCAAGTGTCCCACATGGCGTGGCAGACCTCTCCTGTCACGCCCGCTGCTCCCTCAGCAGTGTATTTCATCAGTCTGCCTGTTCTGTTCCCTACTCTGTCTCCTGTGAATACTCTCACCCTCCCACATATCTGGCCTGTACCCCAGTTCTTGTATAAATAAATAAATCTTAAAAAAAGGGGGGGGGGAGAGAAGAGCTCAAGGGAGTATAGTGATGGTAAATTAGTGGTGGGAATTTTACAGGGAATACACCTAAAAGGAGAAAGCATACAAGCATACCTTGTGCAAAAATAAACAGTGATATAAAAAATACAAATAAATTTAAAAAAAAAAGAGGTTCCATTTTCCCTGCTAGACATAATGAAGGGTAGAGCTGAGCAGGGAGAAAAAAGCTGAAGAAGACTTGGAAGAAAACAGGAGGAGGCACAAGCAGCAGGGAGACATGTGAGAAAGAAGGGCATGCTTGCTCGGGGGAGGGTGGCAATGCCAGTCTTTACCTTGATTTATACTTTGATTTTGTTCTTTTCATCCCAAACTTGCCTGGCCCTTTCTGCCTCTTTCCTATGGTCTCCTACAAGAAGGTGCCTTTAGACTTGTGGCAAGTTTTTGGGCCTCTGTGGCCTCACTTTGGGCCAACCTTGTTAGGCTGGGCATTTATCCATGAGGGGTTGGGTAACATTGGGTGTTTTATTGGGAAACTATTATCCTTTCTTCTCTTCCCTCTCTGCGAACACTGGTCTATTAAAGTTCTTTCACACTAAGATAATGCTTTCTCTTTATACAGCAGATGGCAGAACCCATTTAGAGCATGCAAGTTTAGAGGGATATCTTGCGATACCCCTCAGTTTGTACAGTAACGATACTACAATCTGCAATACCCCAGTTGCTTCTCATAGACAACTCATTAATACCATGGTACCAAATAACAATTGCTAACCTAGTGAACCAAGGTTCTATCTCCCCAGGGCACACATATTATAGATTTTATGCTATAAATTCACATTCTCTCTATCAATTTTTATTCCAAATGCTTTTGCCTCCTGTTCATTACTGTTCATAATTCCATTTGTCAGTTTAATTTTGTGATGCTTTGTAGCTATCCACAATAATTACAATGCTTAATGCTACACCTTAAGGTTAAAATAAACAGAGCAGTTTAAATGCATATGTGCTGGCCAATCTCTGGCTCCCACACCACCTCTACAAACAAATCCCATCCCCCATACATCTGAGCCTAAGGACTGGCTGGTGTTATGTATGATACCTTTCATCTTGCTAGCTATTTTCCCATTACCTTCGACAGTATATCTAATCATGACATTATTATAGATGCTACAGTAAACAGCTAATATATGTGGTAAAAAATACATTCTCTATAATGAATCAAAGTGACAGGCCCACCCACCAAACTCCCTCCACTCATTCTATTCATAAAATGGCTTTATTTGGGTTTTTTTCTTTTCCCCCCAGAGTATACTACAACAGGAAGAAGGAGCATTGGGAAAAAACATTCATAAAAACAGGGGGAAATAAATGTTTATGTAAATGAGATTAGAAAGGAAGTTCATTAGAAGGTGTGTGTCAAACAATATGGCAATTCATTGGTTCTATATGTAGTCTTTTAAACTTGAAATTCCCTGAAACATACATTTTTATTTTTGTTTGTGTTTCTTGGACATAGAATGTATCTTATTAAAAATAAATTAAAACAAAAAGCCAGGAAACAAAAGAAGAAATACAATAGTTAATGGAAAACTACATCTAATCACAATGTAAGCAAGATAAAAATTTAAGGTTAGAAGAGAAATTAAAAGTCTGTAGTCTACCTAGGTTCATTTCCCAAACTCCAGTTTCTGCTAGCTATAGGATGTTTGACTACTTGCTTCCCAACTTATACAGCAATTTCCTTATTAGTAAAATACACTCAAGATTCTTATAAGGCTAAACACAGCAAAACAGTGCCTAGCACATAATAAATAGTCTAATAAATATTAGTTGTTGCTACAAATACAGGTTAGGAAATTGAGGCACAGAGTAAGTGTTTTCTCTGGGATAATTCAACAGTTAATGGCAGAATTGTCATTAGAACCTAGGTCATCTGACTTTTTTGTATATTTTTGGTTTTGTTTACAATAGAGTCCTCAGATTGTAGTATGGAGAAACTAAAAATTACTTTTAAAGGAGAAAGTGAGATAGCCAAAAATCCCTCAGAAAAGCATAGCCCAGATTTAAAAGAAGGAAAAAAGAGACTTTGCACACATGCAATCACATGCACACACCCCAAAATGAGAAATAAAAAGGGATGGGTAGAGCAGAGAGTGGGGAGAAGGGGTGCGGAGAACAAGTAATGCAGACAGAAAACCTCCAATTAGACTTTATTATGATGCAGTTCATTAGAGTATAATTATATTTCTTATTAAATGATTTATCACAAGATCACAAGGTTAGAAGAATAGGTCATATTGAATATTAATTATAAATTCTTTGAAAAATTCCAAAGATATTGAGAGCAGTACTCTCGCAGACTTTGAGTTGTGGTAAATTAACTCAAATTCTTGGAAAGCAATTTGGCATTATCTTTAAAATTTCAAAATGTGTCTATTCTTTTAGCAATCAATAAAATTAGGAAGAACTCATCCGACAGCTAATTTGAAGAAGTGTGCCAAAATGTACAGAAAATGATTCTTAGTGAATTATTGGCAGCACCAAATATTTTTTTAAAAATTTAAGCATTTGTTAATGGGGAAATTATTATTATAATACATTCAAATAATGGAATAAATAAGATGACATGAAAAGTTCCTCTAGATATAGTAAATGAAAAAGAAAATATAGAGTAACCAACATCTGTATTTTTTAACAAAGGATACAGATACATGAATGTGTCTGCTACACAAATATGCTGCAAAAACATCAAGAAACTTAATATTGGTTATCTCTAGAAAATGGGATTGAGGTCAGGAAGATGGAGAAGAAAAAACATTTTCCTTTGAGATATATATAACACATAATTTTTTATGATATACATATAGCAATTGGTATAATGGAAGACAAATTTAAGAGTGTAAAACTAGAAGGTTTCCCTCTATATATCTGAACAGTCTTACCTGACACTTAGCACTACAGTATTTGGCCACTCGGCATTGAGAGCATCGCATCAGCTTTTCCTTCCTGTGGAAAAAAATTAGTTTCACATTAGGTAATGACTGAAAACTATATATGGTTGAAGAAAGAGGACATAAATCAACATGTTGATGCAAGTGTCAACTGTTCACTCCATCTGTATGGTCATTTTTTAGGTTTCCATACTGATAAATATCTTCCTTCACAAGTACATGTGAACTAATATTCTTTTTTTGCAATCATAATATACACAAAATTGACTTTAGTTACTTTAAATAGCATTAAGTACATTCGCACTATTGTACAAACATAACCACTGATTTATTTTTTCAAATATTTAATTAAAATACAAATTCCCATTTTTTTTAGTTCATTTCATTTATTTTTTCATTTTTTTAACATTTATCATTTTTTACCTTTTTTTAGACAATATTTGCTTCCCTCACCCCCTCAAATTCCCATTTAGGCAAAAAATCCTACTCCACACAGATTTTAATCTCCCCATATGGAACTTAGAATCTAATCCATCAACTAGCTGAAAGCATCATACACCCTTGAAATATTAAAATTTTGTCCTTTTTTTTACAAACTATAATTGTTGTTTTAATATAGTTTCATGGACAATAAATGCTATTAATTAATGTGTAAAAAATGTCTTTATTTTGCCATAACACTTGAATACGGTATGAGGTTTAGCTTGGCTTTACATTACTTATCTCTGTCATTTAATTTGTACAATTTATTGGGCTTATTTATTCATATTTACACTACTGGGTGCACAAACTTCAGCTACAAACTCATGGCTGTCTTGTTTGTTTTGTTAAATGTATTTTTTATTGAACTACCATCATTTTATATTCGTGTTCATTTTTTCACAATGAAGAATCTCTCCTCTCATGTGTGGTCACCGTAGTTCTCCCACCATCAAATCTCCCATAATCCTCCACCACAGTCCATTATGCTCATCCCCCTTTTCTTCTCCACTCCCTATCTCCCATGTGCTCCTGAACTGGATGCCTCAGATCCTATAGCATCCTAGCATTTGCTAGACTTGATGTGAAGGAAATTCCAGTAATATAAAGGAGAAGGAATCAAATAAGACCCCCTCCAATTCCAAAATTATTTTAATCTTCTTCTCTTGTGCAGCCAACAAATATAAAATTTGAAGGTGACAAAAATTGTATCGATTAGAAAGCAAAGCACAGTAGTCACAAGAGAAGTGATGAATACACAATTTTCACAAATTACAGAACCATCCTATTTGCAAACCAACTGATTATATTAAAGGTACATCCAGAACTGGACATTCTCCATAAAAAGCAGTCTAAGGAATGTATCAGTGACAGGAAAGTGATTAATTTTTTATCTTTGTCCCCCTCCACTTAGGAAATGAATGGTACTATTCTACCTCCAAATTGGAGAAAATACTAAAATTACTTTATACCAAAATAAATATGATCTTTTCTTCTCCCTCCCAAAACAGCAGAAAAGAACCCTCTAATACTTGTCCATGTAAGCACTGATATGCTACAGAACACAGTGTCAAATCAGAGAAAATTCTCAGTATGTTCAGTGCCCCAGACACAGTGGTTCATAGAGCATCACGATTTAAATCCTCTCTTCCAAGTAACGACTGAGCCATAATTAGTTTTTCCAACAGACTAAGCAACTGAAATGTGGAAAGGAAATAAAAATGGAGCAAAATTAAAGTCTTCCAGTAAACAAATTTAAATTATATATGGGTAGAGGGAAAATCACTGTCTCTAAGAACTCAAAGAGGCAAGGAGGATTAACTGGTTCCTTCAAATTCCAACAGTAGGGGTACTTTCTGTTTAAAGGAGTATCTCTGTCATTTTTAGTTAATAAGAAAAAAGTATCCTACTATTTAGAAAATCTGCCCTAAAATAATAAGGCCAGTTGCCAGAGAAGGGGGTAAAGCTTTCTGGAGAGAATGAAGAAAACAAATTCCAGTGACTCAAGTTCCCCTGGTCCTAGCACCTATAGAATCCATTTTAAACTTCCCATAGAAAAGAAAATGCATCTGTAACACATCCAGATGTAGTGTACTTATTCCACAGGGTTCCTTCCCCCAACTGTGTCTTCATCCTCTAGCAGTGTCTCGGTGAGCTAGCAGATGAATCTCCTTCAGTGGTCAGTCTCACAAGAGAAAGTAATTGGTTCACAGTTGACCAATTAGGCCCAGGCAAAGGGTCCAGAATTGCAGGGAAGTCTGGCAAACCTCCAGTCCTCTGCTGCACACTCTTCTCATAGAGCACAGCCCTTCGCAATAAGAAAGCAAGCCCTTCCCACAAGAATCCCTGGTGGCACAAAGGATTAAGCACAGCACTGTGAAGCTATCTGCAGCCTCTGCAGCAAGAGTTAGATCCCCAGCCTGCCAGGGAGCTACCCACATGGCACAACAGACCTCTCTTGTCTCACCTGCTGCTCCCCTCAGCAGTATATTTCAGTCTGTCTTCAGAACAGTGGGTTCTGTTCCCCACTCTGTCTCTGGTGAATCCTCTCACTGCCACCCCAACCCCACACCTCTGGTCTGTACCCCAGTTCTTGTATGTATAAATAAATCTTCTAAAAAAAAAGAAAAAGAAAGAACCCCAGGGGACAGTGTGTGTTTCTGTGGGCTCCTCATTCAACCTAAAGATTCCTGCCCAGCAATCATCTGCACACTGAGTATCTATAGGATTGAAATTGAAGTTTTGTGGCTGATTACTGTGCCATTTGGAAAGAAACCTAAGCTGAGATTTAGGAGATTTGATTTAATGCCCCACCTTAATGCAAATTTTAAGGGAAATTCTGAGTAGAATACTTGTGAAAATATTTTTTTACACAATTAAGGCATAAGTTGTTCTGTGGAAGATGAGGAGGAGTATTGAAAGTCACAATACCAAGCTCTTAAGAATAAAGAGCTTCACTTATTTTAAATAATTAAGTAAATGAAGTCTAAATACAATTTTTCTAAAAAGACTACAGAAATATTTCCTTACAGAATATGTTTGTAAATATTTTTGAAATCTCAAAATTCTGAATCATTAGAAATGTTGATGCCACGTAACCAAGTACTTGACTGTTTCCCATAGAAATTCCTCAAGCAAATGAAAATCTACACTATGAAAAAGAAAATATCCCAAATAAAAGCATGTTATTCTACCAAAGGCAGTGAAATTACTTTTTATTCTGACCAAATAAAATATACCAGAAACCACTATGCATAAAGAACTCCCTTCGGCATAAATATTCGTAATAATACACCAAAGGATACTTCCATTTTTGTATAGAGGTAGTAATTACGTTGGTTTGGGCCTAAAGGCCTTTTTTTTATTATTATTAAGTTAAAGAGATTCACAGTCACATTCCAGCTAACTACAAAGAGGTTTTTAATACAAAGCAGCACATGTGGTCAAAATGATAGATTCATACCATGGGAAAATAGAATTGGGTAGGACTCATTTTTCTATATTCCCTATCATTTTATTTCACATTTTTAATAGTTAAAGGACAAAATAACAAAATGTAATTGTTGGGCCTCCCCTGGTGGCACAGCGGTTGAGTGCTGGGCTGCGAAGCTGCCCGCAGCCTCTGCAGCGCCGGTTCGATCCCCGGCCTCCAGGCAAGGGTCCCACAAGCGGGACAGACCTCTCCTGCCACGCCCGCTGCTCCCCTCAGCAGTGCACTTCATCAGTCTGCCTGTTCTGTTCCCCGCTCTGGCTCTGGTGAATTCTCTCACCTTCTCACACTTCTGACTGTACCCAGTGCTTGTATAAATAAATAAATCTTTAAAAAAGAAAATGTAATTGTTAATATTTTGAGGGAAATGAATCTATGATTCATAGGTATTATATCTTCCTGGGAAAAACATAATTTGATCCCACATTAGCACGTAGAGAAAAACACCAAGGATGTCTTGGGCCAAGTTAGCCAAGACAGGCAGCATCTTTCTTGGGTACTTTCCTTTTCACTGCCCTCAGTCGCCTAAATTAAAGCTGTTGTCCTTGTGGAGATCTGCTACCTGATAAACACAAACTTCAACTGTTAATTTATAAGTGTTCCATGATTAGCCATCACCATGTAAGTCCCTGGACTGCAGGGAGGGCACCGCCGTCCCTGCTTCCAAGAGCTCACGATAAAAGGTGAGCTCACTTGCAGGGTGAGCTATAATACAAAACCATGTTTTGAGAAGCAGTACCCGCTACAGGTCCTAAATTCAAGCAAAGGAAAGGTTACTTTCTGGCAGATAAAAAGTGGAAAGGAGAGGATACTAGCACAGTCCCAGGATTCCACAAGCCCCTATACCTAAGAAAGAATGTTTCAGCAGTTTACACTTCAAAATCTTCAGCACAGGGAATACACCTGAAAGGAGAAAGCATACAACATGCATTGTACAAAAATGAACAATGATGGGTAATATGTACTTATATATATATTATATATACTTATTTATTTATATATAAAAAAAAATTTTAAACTGCAGTCCCTGTCTCAATGTTTGCATCACCCACCCAAAAAATTCATAAGTTAAAATCTCAACCCCAAAAGATACTAGGAGGTGAAGACTTTGAGAGGTACTCAAGTCATGGGGGTGCAATCTTTACAAATGAGAGTAGTGTTCTTATGTCAAAAATAATAATAAACCCCTTACCTCTTCTACTACTTAATAACAAAGCAAGAAGGTAAGAGCTACAAATCAGGAACATAACCCATATGGTGACCCAATCTCAGAGTTCACAGTTCAAGAAACTGAACAACTGAAAACTTCACTTTCCAGAACAAATAAATTTCTGGCAGTTGTCGTTTAGATGCTACCCAGTTTCTGGTATTTTGTTATAGCACTCCTAAAACTGCGACACCAAGCCCACTCCCTAGTAGCAGTGCAAACTCATAACCGCTCAACTGCAATTCCTTCCTCTGAAAAGTAGGAATAAATAAATGACCATTCACAGCATCATTGAGTGGATCATATAGGACAATCTATATAAAGTGCCTGCTAACAGAAGGTCAAACACAGGACCTAGTATAAAGTTAAAACTGAGGGC